AAAAGGTATCTTATATTTTTTCCGTAAACCTCACCATTTGAATGATATTGAAGATTTAAGTTTGATTATTTTAAGACAAATTTCATTTTTGTTTCGGAATTTTATAACTCGACAATAAATGACTATTAAAAAGTGCACAATACAAATTTTTGTAGGAAATTAACTGCTCTATAAAAACGGTGTCTTATGTTTTGACAATTAAATTAAGCGTTCAAAAGATATTCATCATCAAACTTTTTTGTTAAAGAGCATCGAAAAAATTACCCTACTTGCAACAAAGAATTGCCTGAAAATTAATAACTCAGTTGAAAATTGAAATAAAAAACTTTTTTATAAGTAATTGGACATTTTTTTTTCTCTAAAACTGAAACATATCATAATATATTTATAATGAAAACTTTGCTTTTTTTATTAATAAATAATTAACTAAGCGATAAATAATGTACATATTTATTTTTTTAAATGTAGAAAATTTAATCGCCTATATGTCTTTCCTATAATATTGTTTATTATGTATCGTTTACGTTTTATAAAAATTTGGATAATCCATAAATTTTAGAATATTACGAAATATACTTCCCATTCAAATATTAATATACAATCATTATAATATACATTAAAAATGCACCCTCCTCCCCAGTATAATAAACCGTTCAATAATGTGTTAAAAGCATGCTTTTTTTTTGTAATATGACTTTGTAAGTATATTCATGCCATCAATTCTAACGATCGTAATTTTTGCATGATGTTCATGATCAAAGGCTCGTTAGATAGATAAAAGTTTTATTATTTTTGTTTTTGTTTTTTTTTTTCAAAAAATACAAATTATAGTTTAATAAAAGTTGTGAGACTACTCGTTATAAGTTAAAACAAGATCTAAATATCGTTAAAAGCACAACGAAAGCTTTTATTTTGCGAATAGCAAAAAAAGAAAAATATAAAATGAACCGAATGCTATTCGGCCTCTAGCGTTCTTACAATCAATCTTTCTCTTTTACCTTTCTTCTTCTTCTTCTTTTTTTTTTCATCTTCTTTATC